TGATATTTGGTGCTGTTAGCGATTAACAAAAAGTTTTCAAAACTTTTTCGAGTTAAAAGCGTAGAAAGCGTTCAACGTCTCGAGAGCTTGGTATGCGTTACCGTTACGATGATTTCCTAAACTTCTTTTAAACTATACGCGTGCATACACATACTCACACACCTATGTTTGCACATATATACACAAACACATTTTTTTGGGAAATTGTTTGTTTCTTTTGTTAAAAAATGGATTATGTTTGAATTTTTAGTTACTTCATTTATATATAAATTGTTACATAGCTATATAAAACCAAGGTTATGTCGGAGAATATGTGTACACTCACAAATACACAAATATAAAATAATTTAAATATATTTTGACTAATGCTGCAAGGCGACTTGATGCAATTTTTTTTAAATATAATTTAATTTATGTCCTTTTTTGAAAGCTTCTTTTTTTCTGAAATATATTAAAAAACCCTAAAGCTTCGAAATTGTAATATTCAAACGATTTAGTTTTTAGAAAGCGAAAAAAAATTATGTAATCAAAATATTAAACTAAATTTAGGTGTAAAAAAAATGTAAAATTTTAAATAAAAGAGAAATTATTAAATAATATTTGTAACTGTAAAAATTGTGTTTGTATTCCTTTTTTTTAGGTGCAAATCACAGTGATAACTTATATATGTAAGGTTAAGGGGCATACCTAATCTGAAATTTGAAAAAAAAATTGATTCGTATCTCAAATAGTTTTTGAGTTACAACCTTCTAAAGTGTAGTCGCTTAGCTCAAGCAACTCTCCCAGGTTATACTTAAACATGCTTGAGTGATTGACTAGTCAAAGACAAATGATCCGTTCAAATTTTTTGGTTTGTTCTGTAAATATATATTATAGTTCTCCGTTAAGGCCAAAAACGACCAAAATATTGGATAAAAATCAACTTCTTATTTTAATTGACGCAATTTTGTCAATTTTCGATTGTTAGTTCTACTATAGGTCGTTGTGCGAATAATATTTTCTAGTAGATAAACTTTTTTAGGTTCATCCATTGTAGGATCATTTTTGTAGCACTGTCGAAAATTGCAAGTAACCTGACAATTATTTAACTTAAATTATTTATAGTTTGAACAATTTTTTTGTATACCACAACACTAACTGGATCTTGAACAAGTCATGATATTAGTTATTTCATTTTATTCACTTAAAGCTACAATATCTCACGCTTGAACTTGAAAAGCTCAAACGACCTAAAACCGTATATTCAAGGGAGAGCGCATTCATTTCAATTCATTCAATTTGTTACTGTTACTTTTAAAAGTTCCGTGACAGGGGTTCACTGTATAAATATATATATATTATCACAATTTTTTTTTTTCTGAAAGTATTACATATTACAAAAATTTGTCGACTGAAAAATTAATAAATACATGTAATAGAATCTATGTTTGGGTCGCATAATATTTAGAACATATCATAGGTAAATAGTGGTCATAAGAATCCTTATTTTATACATAATTACTTATTATCATCACACGCTTATGTAATTGCTCAATAATAACTCAAAAAGTGTTTCTAGTTTTTTCAATCTTTTAATTTTAATTTACTTAATTACATCTTCCCAATATCAATCAAGTAATGATCACATATCAGTTACATTCACTAATTACACGCTGTTGCATGTGGAACATAAGACTTTATTCAAATACGTATTGACATAAGTTAATTCCACAATTCGAAAGAGCAGAAATAAGAGTAAAAAATAAGAGAGTCCTAATTGTTTGAATTTTCGGTACTACAGCTGAGAGACGAAGTGTTTGAAATAGTTTTTGTTTTGTATACAAGAAGCCGGCATACTCGAAGGCTTTGCTGTGGATGCTATTTAAGAGGTGACCAGGTGATACAACTAAATTAGTACTTTTAAGGTTCTTCTTAATGATTTGACCTTGAAATGGTGCAAAGCTGCGCATAATTTTTATTTACATCAAATAATCATTACATACATACAAACAGACAAATATTCTTGGTTAAGTCAACGAATATAACTGATAAAATTTATATATTCCATATAAATTATGTCTAAACAAATTAGTTGCAAACGAGAGTTTAGTCAGAGAATGTTAATGAATAGAGAAGGTGCAAATGTTAGCTGTGCTAAACTGTTAGTTACGATTAGGGAACATCGAAAACGCGCAAGTTCGAAAATAAAATTTCACCACCCTATCAGGCAACGCAACGAATTACACCACTCTAGCAGCAAAATGTATATGCATACATACATATGCGCATATGTTTTTTGGTATGCGCATGAACAAAAATTAAAGTAATAAAAAGGAAAATAATCGACTTATGAAAAGAAAATGTAAATAAAGAGGGAAATAATAATGAAAATAGCATTAAAATGTCATGTAATAAAAACAAAAGGTTTATAAAAATAAAAGAGAGAATAGAAAATTATTTGCATAGGATTTGAACTTATTTTCAATTTTACAATTTGACCACTAAAATTCTACCTACCATCATCCCCTCGCATTTGCATGTTGCCCACAAGCTGCTTCCTTGTGGATGCTAAAAATCAGAAATTGAAGAATTTGTCTAATGTTCTCTTCAGAAAGGAGAATTGGCAACATGACCTATTAGCGAGTTAAAATAATATTTTTATTTATTTCATATTATGCACTATATATGACATTATATTATAAAATTTATATAAAATTACCATTCATATGATATCTTTAACTACTTCTTTATATTCTAAGCACAGTTCATATAGTACTTTTATATGTTTATTTATTATCATTGTTTCATGGTTATCTAAAAAACGACGCCATGAAAATGCAGCCCAATCGGTAATCGCAATATTTCAAATATAAATTTTTAGTAATAAAGCACTGCAAAAAGGACAGACGAGACAACATAACCGACCGACATTGTCGATTGAAACAAATTTTGTCAACTCCGCGACGATTCGCACAATTTGGTGTCAATATGTATGCGAGCTCATATGCATGTATATGTATGTTTGTAGACAAAGTCCTCATTTGGTTTTTTTCAACAACACAATGTCCGCGCGAATACACCGTTATTTCGTTGGCTTGCAGAGGCCTTTCAACTTAGTACCCTAGTAATTATTAAATTGTTTGAAAAATACTGATGCATTAATGACTTATTTTCGTATTATAATAATAATATAGGTACAAATATAAATACACATACTTATAATCGTTATTAAAATAAATTCGATTAATAAAAAAATTTCTGATATAATTATGTGGCAGTGGGCCCCTGGCCCCCCATGCCAGCGATCGTTCAACTTGGTTCTCGCAAAAAGCAAAAAGTGTTGACAAAAGTCATTGTTTGTGCGGGTCAAGAAGACGTGCATTTAAGAATGTATGTGTGATTGTCACTTTTATGTAAATACGCATAAATAAGGGAATATTCAATAATCCTAAACATATGAACATATTTTCCAGAAATATTTTAATTATCTCAGGAAGTAAAATATGCTATTAAAGAAATTGAATTGAGATATGTTAAGATTTCAATTAATTCATTAACATTCTCTGGCGAGGCGGTCGATCAAGCGATTCACCGACTGTTCATTCGTCTAAGCGGTGAAGCACATAAACAGGTTTCACCTTATTACACGTACTCGTATCAACAGCTTCCACTATAATTGTGACAAAAACTCGAAAATTCGTGTTTTGCTAAAACCACTCTCACCAGCCCATAGAAAATTAATCGTGGATGAGAGCATTTGTTGGTCTATAATATTTGTATTTGACTGACTCCACATGTGAATATGTTTATTATTATATTATTACACATTTACACACAACTATTAGACGTTGTTGTAGTCACAACAATCGTTTGGCTTTTGCTAGTTTGCCAAAGCATGTGTGTGTGTATGTGACGGATTCGATTCAGTTCGAAGATTTGGATGCTGGAATTCAAGTGTTTGTACTACCCGCTCTATCGCCCTCCTGTTAATATCATTTTGCACCTACACAGTGTTTCTCAGTTAATTCAACGCGTTCATATTGCCTTAAACCTGCTGCTGCTTGAGGAAGCCGAACTTCACGGTTTGGTTGTTGCTGCATGTTGTCTTCGTATTGTTTGCTGTGTTTTTATTGTTATTTTCTGTAATTGCATCTCTTCTTTACAACTTCGTTTCATGTGAGTTTCGAACGTAATATTCTCGGAGCACGTTTCTGACAGGAGTGGGTGTTTTTCGAATTTGTCGCAAACTCTTAGTTGCTCTCTTAAAATCTTAGATGAGAGAAGTTTGAAATTCACTACCGTCATCCCTCTAGGAAAATACTGACAGATCTAAAACTTAATATTTATTGGATGGAGCACATATATTGTTATATAGTTTCAGAAATATGTAGTTTTAAGATGTTTTAGAATATTTTATTTTATAGAAATATTTTCGAGGTAGCAGTCAATTCTAGATTCAAAAATGCCTGCTGATTGATACCGATTATTCGAAAATTTTTTCGAAGGAAGTAATATGGGCGCATGGATATATTTTTTTATATGTATTTTCTTCAATACAAAAAGTTTGGTATCCTTAATCTCTACTTGCAAGACATTGAACCGCAATTATTTTTGGTATCATGAGCTCGGGTACGTGTCAAGTCGCGTTAATAGTTCTAACATTTGTTTCAGAAATGGTTTAATAGTCTCTGGGAAAATATAGTTCTAAATTTTTTTTCATAAATTGTTATATAAGTCTCTGGGAAAAGAAAAACTTCCCAATACTCTCATCTATGCATCGTAAAGAAAACAAAGATTATCAATTTATTTTATGAAGTGCACAATTTTTCGATTTCAAATTTCCTACATGCCCTGTTGATTCAACAATTTATCCCATTTCTCACTTTGGAGAAAACAGCGCTGCTTTTCTCTCTTGACTTGCTCAATTGCCTTTTTAAGCATTCGTATCCCATTTCGAACTTCGAACTGGTATCCCGAAGCGTATCTCGCGCATATCGCGTATGCTGGACTCCACAAGCTACGCACTGCTGCGCTGCGGTCCGACATTGCTGTCGAAGTTCGTTCTTCTGTGCCACAGAGCGCTGCCGTTCTGCTGATTTGCCATCGAAGCGCTGCGCTGCATTTTCAGTTCGGTTTCGTGCATTAACGTATTTAGACGTGTAATAAATGATGTCCGTGCGCTAAGAATGCGGCAACTCACGTTGTTTGTGTATGTGCATTCTGTGAAGAATTGAAAACATAAGAAAGAATTAAGTTATGAACAAGTAAATCGAAGTGTTATCAATTAAAATACAATTTCGCGAAAATACTGAAAATAAGAAATTTGTGATTGTATGTTGTGTTAGCGGTGTCTAAAGAGCAGCACAGCATCCGCCAACACGTTGTTGGTGTTCAAGGAGCGGCAGACAGTGCGAAAAACGTCGCCGCCCTAGCAAATAATGAAGGAAAGGTGTATGCTTGCTGCGCCACAAGCGTTTGCTGCATAAATTAATGAATGAGTAAAGTGGCAAGTGAATGAATGATAAAGCAGTGATAATCACACAGTATGTCGATGTTGTATTTGAAAGGGTTGAATGAGACCAGTGTCAAGTTTTGAATAAAACTGGTGCTCCCAGTTCTGTATTTAAAATTATTTACAATCTTGAGCACAATAACAACTTGACTGCCTCGATTCAACAGATAAAAGTTTAGTTAAACGTTTAAATTTGATAGTGAAGCCGCGTGTTGCAAGCAAAGTTTGTTGCAAATACCACAACTTAAACGCGAAAGTTCTGTTCCTTCAAAGGTCGCGTCAAAGGTCAAAGAACTAGAAGTCTTTTCTGAAAACCAATTCAAAGAAATAAGCAAATTTAAATTTGTTACTGTAGCATTTCATGTTGCCGGTGGCGTGACATTGTGAAAATATTGTAACGCCTCTTAAGTACGGAATAATAACTTAAGTCAAGCGTTTGTAAACATCTACCAAACAACAACAGCGCAGTATAAAAATAAACAAAATTTGAAATTTGTAATATTTATAGACATAAGCTCTGACTTGTGCTCGACCAACTGAACATCACCTAGAGAAAGGAGCCGACCCATAGGCCGACTCGACAATATCAGCGCCTTGGCTGACTTTTACGCCAGCAGGAAAAACGCACATAAGTAAATAAATAATTTTTAGCCGCAGCAACGTCGTCTCCTCCATCCTTGGGCGGCCCCAAAAAATGTGAGTATTTCCATGAAATTTTCACGTTAAATGTTAAAAATACCAATCAAGCGCTCAAAGGACGACGACTCCTCGTCGCATTGAGCCACACGTACGCGGTTGCCCTTACTCTCCGCACGACGCCCGCCCCCAAGCGGCTGGTATCGGCACAAACTTTGTTGCCATTTTGCTTTAAGCCATTTTATTATTTTATTTTCCTCCAATTTTGTCTCTATTTTTACGGCCTTCTGCCACCTTAACCTTCTGTTCGCTCGCGTGTTGCGCTCCACTTCCACTTCCCATTCCAATTGGATTTGTGTTTTCTGACTTTGTTTTCATCTTTATTTTTTTTGTTTTTTGTTTTTTTTCTTCTATTTGCCTTTACGCAGTTTTCTGCCATTCGTACTTTTCCACTTTTCTTCACTTACTTCGCTGTGTTTTCGTTTTCGCTTTGCGTCCTCTGCAGCGAAATGCTTTTCGGCAGGAATTCTTGTATTTTATTGTAATTCCCGCTATGCAGGATATTTAAGGATATATTTAAGCTGCTTTATTGATTGCACCCGGTGTTTGGAAAATCTGCCTCAGCCTGTTTAAGTTGAATATTTTGTGTGTGTGTGTGTGCGTGTGCGTCGTTGCGTGTTCTTCAGTGTGCTCTTTTGGCATGTTTTGTTTGTGTTTTTATTTTATGTTTTGCTTTCGTTGTTACTTTTGTTGCTTTTACTACTCGATGCGGCCCTGTGGTGCTGCGCTGTGCTTCAGTGCCTCAGCCATGCTAGAGGTATCCTTTGCGCACACCGCTTAGCCTGCTCGGCGTGTGGGTTTGTCAGCTTGCCTCTCTGCCTGTCTGTCGGACGGTCTTTCGCCATGTGTGCCTTGTGGCTGCCTGTTGTTTTCAGTCACTAGCTATTTGCCTGCCACTTTCTTCATTTTCGGGGTTGAAATACGAAACCATCTTAGTCCTTCTCTGGTCTGTTAATGCTGTTTTCTTATCTATAAATGGTTGTATGAATGAATGAATGAATGTATGCGTGTGTGCGGTTTTTGGAATGCGTATTTGATAGTATGTACATAACCCGAAATGGTAAACGGATTTACTGACAATTGTCAAGAGTAGAAATCAAATCGTTTGGGTTTCCCTAATTGCTGCTTGGATTTCATTTGGTTCCATAGTTATTTGGCTTTATTTCGAATTCGAACAATAGTTTTAATGAAAACTTACGCAGTAAGAGAACGGTATGCGTTAAAGGATGGATTTGGAAAAGTCACTAAAGTCCTTTTTAAAAATTAATGCATTTTTTTTAGTTTAGTTGACATTAAGCAGAATAACGAAATTGGTTTTGTGTTTTTGTGCAAGAAAGCAAAAAAAAAAAAATTAATAAAAAATAGAAAATTCTTATTTCAGTATTAAATATTTATCAACATTATTTTATATATAGATTTTATTTGATTTTAAAGTAAAATTTTTTTAATAAAATTAACATTTTCGATCATTTTAAGTTTTCACAATTCAATAATTTCTATTATTTTGTGTAATTTGTCTCAAAAATGTTTAAAACTGATTTTCGTCTTATTTTTCCAATAATTCATTTTATCCTTATTTTTCGAAATTTCGTTCAAGCGAATAATAATTATATAAATGTTAAAAAAAGAAATTAAAGATCTCAAATTTTTTTAATAGAAATTTGCTAAATTGGTTGTTAAACAGTGTAGTATTTTATATATATAATATTTAAAATAATTTAAAATACCTAAAATACATTTTAAATATAAAACTATAAATATAAAATATATTTTTTTAATAAAAATCAAGCAATTTTGAATATTTCAAGCTTTGTTCTTATTTTGAGTTTTGTTTTACAGATACCTTTCAAGCATATTGAATTTTGTAAATTTTAATACAATTTTTAAATAAAATTATTTTTTTGAATCGTCAATTTAATTGAATGGAAATTTCAAATATAACTTTAAGCATATCGAACACAGTTTTTAAATAATATTTTAAAAGTTTGTTTTTTAAAAATTATCGAAAATTCTAATATTTGATAACTAATTTTTTTTTATAAATATAAAAATTTGTTTAAGTATTTTTAAAAATATTCGGAAAATTATATTGGAAATTTTGAAAATTCAAAACTTTGTTTTTTATTATTTTTTATATGGAATTTTGCAAATTTTAATCAAATTTTTAAATAAAATTATTTTTTTTTTTAAATTTAGTTTTATGGAAATTTCCAATGAAACTTCTAGCATATCGAACACAGTTTTTAAAGAATATTTTAAGTTTCTTTTTTCCAAATTTACGAAAACTCTAATATTTGCCATTAAATTTGTTTTATAACTATACATATTTAAATAAATATTTTTAAAAATATTCAAATATTTAATAAAAAATAATTTTTATTTCAATGATTTTTAAAAAACCGCAAAAACATCTTATTTCAAATGAAATTATATAACTAAAAAATGAATATCTGTAAAAAAATAAGACAACTTATATATTCATATATTATATATATTCGTATGCTACTATAAGACACAAATGTTATACGGGGTGTATTTTTCAATAAGTTCCAACAATTACAAATGGGTTACGAAAACATCTTCACGGCCAAGCGATATGAGGTAGCAAAGTTCAAGAAGTGCATGCCGCAAGTGTCCGCAAATAATGTGGCACGTTTATGCAATGAAGTCGCCAATGCCAACGCAGTTGACACCGGCGCCGCCGCCGCCGTTAACGCTGAAGCTGAAACTGAAGCCGCCAATTACGCTAGAAATCCACACCAGCAACACTTTGGTGTTAAAGTCAATTCCAAAAGCAGATAAAAGTCCAAGTATACGAGAGCGGAATGTGGCGATTGAAATAAATAGAATTGCAGCAAAATTACGAGTAAAAGGCAGTGCGACACATGAGGAAAGCAAAGAACGTTGGAATTGGAAAATTGTTTAATAAATTAAAGCGCTGGAATGCGACAACACGCGCTCCTTTTACGGCGCATTAGAAGTAGCTAAATGGAACAGCAATGCGTTTGTGGCTCTGTGTGCACCAAAGGCAGCATAATAAATATAAATGCGCTTGTGGAACTTAATCCAGCACAAAGCTGGACTATAGCGCACTTAACTGTTTGGCGCTCTCACAAAACAGCACTGGCGACTTGATTAGTGGCAGCCACAGCTGTGTGAAATGCACCAGGCGACAAACATAAATTCAAAGTGAAATATACAATCCAAATGCAATGTTTCACAGCAGCGCCATTATACCGTTTATACCAAAGAAATCCCGATGTTGCAACATTTGCAGCATTTGCTGCCAATGGTCGTTGCAAGTTGGGTTTTAATGAAGAACGAAGCTGTGGCAGCAAGTTGTGGCCATTAGAAAGCAGTAAAACGTATGAAAAAGTTGCTTTAATAACTGATAATGACAAGCGGCTTGCAAGCGCCGGTTATAATGAACGCTGATGATGTCAAATATGGTGGATATTACAAATACTTGTTCTTGGAATTCTTAAAATTGCTATATAAATTTGTTGAACATTCTCCAATAATCCAATGGGGAATTCTATATAGCCAGGGAACTTGTCAATTTTGTGTTAAATTATCTTGAAAAAAAGAGTCCAAGGCGCCTTCTTTTGACTACATCTTTATCTTCAAAACTTTTCTTCCTATATAAATTTATGCCAATTGGGTCCATAATGTCTGAATTTTTGGTCGGTTCTAGCAAATGATTGCAGGATTATCAAATGTAGAGTTATATAGTATTTCTATTATAACTCAGTTTTTTCTGATCTTTTTGATATTTCCAGTTTTTTCTGCTTGTGAATATCTATACAAAATTTATAAGTTTTATATATAAATATATGTGAACACTATAAATAATTTAAAAATGCCTGCCTGAACCAAAAATCTTGCTGATCTTAATTATTATTATGAACTGAAAGCTGAGTAAAAATGTTGTAATATCCAGAACGCTATATAAACTAATTTTAAAGAACTATACTGATGACTCACTGGGATTAGAAGTTATAGGCAATAGAACCCGATACTAACACGATTGTGGTATTTACTATTCGTATCGATTCATGGGGTTCCGAAATCGATGAGCTCTTGGTCAGACTTAGTGGAGGCTAAAAATGAAATTAGATACTTCTCAGTTGTCGGATATAAAATCAAAATCGATTGTTCTGATAGTCAGGAATTGTGCAAAAACTGACCCAACGTATACTTACGTGAAACGAAATCATCTGATTAAATACTACATTCTCAGTATTTTAATATATATCCTTATTATCGCCTTCAAAATAGGCTCTTGTGTCTTTACGCTTAATCCAATCTCTCGCACACTTGTTTTAAGCAGCGGGTGTGAGGGCCTTCAGTGCTTTCATTGAAGTTTGGATTTTTCGGTAATTTTTGGAGCGCCATTCGTTTACTCGTTGTACAATCTCGATGTCATATTCATAAATACACGTCACATCTCCAGCAATGATGTCTTTAAAGAATTTAGGACCCTCAGCTAAATTGGCAAGCATCACCTTCCTGCACTCAACGTTGTTTTTTCAAAAGATTCAGGTCTTTTGATAGGAGTCTAGCATTGACACGCTTCATACCCAAAACATCAACCACATTGTCATGAATCGACCGATGCTTTTTGAGATGCTCTACTAACACCCTGATGCCAACACGACGGTTTTCAAGTACTGTTTTTTTTCTACTTTTTCGATGTCACCGTCATTAGCAGGACTTTACGACCTTCACTGATTGCTTTGTGCCAGTCAAATACCTGTGCTTGTCATAAAGTAGATACCCCAAAACATTTCTGCAATATTTTCAACGATTTCGTTGCCGTGATTCCATTGGAAACACAAAACACGTTGTTCCATTTTTTTTCCAGGTTCAAAATCGTCTGACAAATTTATCGCGTCGCCAAACACACACAAATTGACACATAGATATCAAACTTAGCAAAAGCTTAAAAAATGTGTTATCAATATAGAATTTTTTTTTTAAATTCGGTTTGCAGGCGCAGT